GGAGGCGGGGGGAGTACGGTAGTTGCAGTGACATTTGCCGTATGCCGCAAACGGGGAAAAGTTCCGTTACCCCCTTCCGAGGAACTAGGAATTGTAGGTGATGAACTGGACGAGTTTTCGCAGCGTGTACTGTGGCAACAGAATCCGAATCTTCGGCCAATAGGGAACCTCAGCTACATACCAGGGTAAGGACGGTAGGGGTAGATATTATAGTGGCTTCATCATCTCCGTGGTGTGGTTCTTGTTGATAAGAATGTAATAGATTCTAATACCTGCTCGATTTTGGAATCAAAGGCTTGCCTGGGAACTCTCTGTTCTTTGTGTTCATTGTAGAAAGTTTTCGAAGGTGTGGAGTGGACCTAACCTGGCGTGTGTTTGTGCAATGGTCTAGGCTTTCTCAAAGATCACAATGGTCACCTTTCCGTTTGTTATATCTTTAAGCTTCTGCAAAAAGTCCTCTATATTTGGTTTTTTGGTACTCTTGCCTTTTTCTTTAACGGGTTTGATATCTTTTCATCACGATTCTCATGCACACTGTAGTTAACATCGCAAGGAATCGAGGTCTTGGCAATTCAAGGTTAAGGACCCATACGTTCATCCAAAGCTCTACACGTTTCTTGTGTCTCAGCTAATGTGCCGGACAACTTACCAATCCCTTTTGATGAGTACTGACATAGAGTTTCAAAATGAATCAAAAGAAAAGGAAATTTGAAAAGCCTCACTGACCGCATTAATCTCGTCTCCAAATAGGAATTTCTGAACTCCAAGCAGATCTCTATAGGCGTCGTAGTCTTTTTTTAAGAACATTTTGAAATCTTCAGTGGAAAAGTGGCCAAGAGATCCCGTGACACGATTTGCTGCCTAAATCCTCAGTCTTTTCCCTTGCATTCCTTAATGCGATACTTCTTGTAAATTATCTAACGCAGTTTTTCATTTCTCACGAGGAGCGTCAGATCCATTCTGTTCTTTTACAACTCGAAATTAACTTGTGAAGGAAAACTTTCACATTCAATAGAATAGTTCAAATAAAGACAATTTAGGTAACTGAACGGATCTGAAGTATACNAATCCTCAGTCTTTTCCCTTGCATTCCTTAATGCGATACTTCTTGTAAATTATCTAACGCAGTTTTTCATTTCTCACGAGGAGCGTCAGATCCATTCCGTTCTATTACAACTCGAAATTTACTTGTAGAGAAAAAATTTCACAGTCAATAGAATAGTTCAAATAAAGACAATTTAGGTAACTGAACGGATCTGAAGTATACTTTTCGTCTGAAAAAATATGCAAGGATAGGTATGAACAGCTTTGGCGTTCCAGCTTCACTCAACGTCATTGAAAAGAAGTCTTCGGTCCCAGTCGAAAGCACTTTGAATTGACATAGTAACCTGAAAATGTCGTTCTATTAGGAAGCAAATGAAGTAGTATAGTGTTTGGTCGATGTTCTCAATCGTAAAGACTCATGAATTGGAATAAAACTTTCCCGAGATTTCGTGAAGGTCCACCCCCAGCGCTTTTTCTCGTTTTTATTATTTGACTCCTGTACACACAATAGATAAAGAATAAAGTCTATAAGCATCGACCAATCCCGAGTAAGGAATGCGCCCCGTATTCGACATCTAATCAGAATCATAAGGGTTATTGAATGCCCATAAGGTGTTTACTATGACTAGCGGAGACCAGCCGATGTACAAGTCAGTACTTTCATCCTTCCAGACGAGCCCGTTATTAATTTACCGACCCTGGGGGATGGAAGGCTCGGTTGGTCTAGGAGGATATCAATCCAGGATTCGAACCCGTGACCATGGGTGTGCGGTAGTGCGCCCCTTGCTCTTAGCGCTTGCCACACATATAGATTCTTTTTCGACTGTTATCCAACCTTTCTGTGTTGTTTTGACAGAACATGGACTAGAATCACCTTCAGCGCTATTTATCTTTTCGGGTAGTGGCAAGTGGCGCACTATCTCACACGCACGGTCAGGGGTTCGAATCCTGGATCGATGTCCGCCTAGGCCAACCAAGCCTTCCATCCCTCCGGGGTCAGTGGATTGGTACCAGACACGACTGGGAGGAAAAAGCACAGACTTGTACATCAGATGGCAACCGCAAGTCATTGTATAGGCCACATATGTACACACTCATTACGCCACTTCGACTCTGAATGGAAGTCGAGTGCGGGGCGCATCCCCCAGACGAGATCGACTAACGCCAAAAACTTTATCCTTTATCCTTTAGCTTAGAACATGAATGATTTTGGGCATTATACATCCTCTCTATGTAAGGGGTGAAGGTGATGTAGTAACAAATGCATGGCCGGGAATGAAATTCCGGGTCGATGCCAGGCCAGCCAAGGCTTTCATCCCTTAGGGCGGGATAATCGGTTACGGTCTCATATGGGAAAAGGAAACCCTCAACTTGAAGGTAGGGTAAGCACAGTGAGTCATTGCATAGGCCACGTGCGGCACCATTCTGGATGAGGTTGAGTGCACGGCTCATTCCAGTACGGGATTGATTATGGTTAAAATGCTATGCCCTATTATTATTATTATTTCCAACTTCTCTCTTGCTTTAACCTCGGCATAGTTGTTTATTATTTAAATACTTAATAAAATAAATAAATACGGCACAAGAGTATTTAAATAATTATTACTATTATTATTATTATCATTATTATCATTGTTATATTATTATTGACGCTCCATCCATTATTATTTCATCCTTTCATCATACAAATCCCACAGAATACTTGAAAAGTGGAGGTGAATCGGTGGAATTATAGTCTTTAGCACCCTATCCTTTTAAGACTCTAGTAAACCACACGCTATACTCCATAGCTATTCGCGACTGATTGGCAACTTAGGAAATAATGATAACTGCCTGAATTTTCTGAATTGGGGACGGAAATACCAGTCCCTGACATACGATAGGTGTGTTTAATACACGCTACAGCGAAAAAAAAAAGATAAATGACAGTGACTGTCAGTCATTTTATGAAACACTCACAAAAATGTGTGGTTGTCGGTCATCCTGTCGATAGTTCTTGCTATGGCCTCATCTCTCGGTATTAACAAAGTCTAAATGTTTTGAATAGAAGATAAAACATTATACATCAAGTTCGAACCAATTATTCTATTTGAAAAGCGAGTATTTTTCACCAATTTCATGGCGACTCGTTCCACTCGTCGCGTCGCGACCCGAATCGCGCCGTGACCGCTCGCAACAGTGATGAGCAGGTCACTTACCACACCACGCCTACCACGTGTGGGAATTGGGTGTGGTTTTTACACGAAGTTTTCAGGTTGATAGATGTTAACCAATATTAATCAAATTTTTGTTGACGTGGGGTAAAATCTCTAAAATGCTTCAGAACCCGTCAGTTGGTATCGCCCATATACATAAAACTCCCGGGAGTCGCTTTGCGGGATATTTACTGTTGGAAATCGAACCGAATCGAGATCCTGAATATGGCAACATAGAAATAGCTGTGAAAAATTGGGTAACCTTGGTTTTAAAGTGTTCCGTGAGACGATGAATGATGATCTGTGAGTCGGCAATGTGTTCGCCGTTTAGTTCGATAAATGGTAGCAGACCGTATTTCGATCGTCCCATCAATAGTGGGCGTACCTGTAAAGAGAAAGGAGATCACTTTAGTGAAACTACAAATTAACTTTACCTCTTACTCACCTCATAAGGAATTTTATTGACCTTGAGAAATGTCTCAACCTTCAGACAAAACGGTGACACATTTGGCATGCAGGCGCTCCGTGGAAATTGGTACAAGTAGACGATGTCAGGTTTCCAGTCATGGTTATGGATGGCCACCTGGGAACATGATTTCATTTGCACGACCTTTTCTCTGTCTAGCATATAGTTGCGCCGTCGTGTGGTCCGTTTAGCTTGCGAAAAGTCGCGAATTTTATTGAAAGCTTCCTCCGTCGTGGCGTCGACCTCTTAGGATCGTTCTCGTACGCGTCCTTGTAGCATTTTTTCTGGATCTTTTCTTCAAAAGCTGCGTGACCTTCTGACTTTTTGGTGGGGGACCGGTATCACCTTCGGTAGCATTCCGCCATATTCATTTGCATGAGTCTTGGAGCTGATCTGCGCCCGATTCGTGCCCTATTTGTGTGCGAAAATGTGAACATGGGGGCATCATGTACAGTAAGGGTCGCTCTTTTTGAATAGGTATTTGAGCAGCACTTCCATGTAAAGATACTCTTCGCTTCTATCCTAATGCTAGTAGAAAAGAATCCGATCGATGGGTGATAGATTGCGCGAAAACACATTATGCAAATCACGTTCGAGGGCTACTACAGAGGGGTTTTTTAGAGGCGATCATCCGTTGTAATTTCCTGCAGCCGGACGGTATCAGAAAATGGCTGGAGACGTAGCAGTTGATGCCGCTCGTTTTTATAAAACGTCTCAAAAAAGTGTGAAAACAACCTATCAACTCAATGAACTGACAATAACAATTAGCGGAACGTAACAACGATAACACCCCTGAAGGTTTCTTTTCAAATAACATTTCTGCTTGGTATTGGGATGTCGAACTTCGATGGAAAAGGAAGTGTGGCATCCTCCACTCCAACTGCTAATTGTAGTCGCGATCGGCAGGAGTCTATGGACAGTACCAAGGCCTTTATCACATCGAACTCTTCTCTACTTCCTTGTTTGGAATATGGGCAGATTACCTTATATAAGCCTTCAGCTGCAACAACTCTACCAAGTATGGAGAAATCTGTCATTTAAGGGAAACTCTATCATTAGAGGTGGCTTGCCGCCGTTCCTCGAAGTAGTCGTTCAAACAACACTTCTTGGTCCAAGTTCCGAAC